CTTAAGAGACTAGACTAATATCACTCTGAACAGTGAATTATAGTGTTGCTAGATTTTATATCATAATGTTACAGAATTAGCATTGGGTTTCTTAGTTTCTCTTATTCAGAGTATCTGTTCAGACTGCTTCCTTAAGGATGGAAAAAGTATAATTTATAGGTGAAAAAGACAGCTCCAGAGCCCAATTTACAGGCTTATTGTGTTTTTAAAGAACTTGAATTTTTGAAATCCTGGAGAGGCTGTGGGGAAAAAGAAATTCTCCTGTACTGTTGTTGGGAGTGTAGACTGGTGTAGACATTGTGGAGGTCAGTCTGGAGATTTCTCAAAAAGCTGGGTTTGGATGTCTCATTTGTTCTAGCTATTCTACTTCTATGCATATTCCCAGAACTGAAAACATCATACCACAGTGATATATGTGCACCCATGTTTATAGCAGCACAATTTGTAATAGCCAGATCTTGGAAACAACGTAAGTGTCCATCAACTGAGGAATGGATAAAAAGGCTGTGGTATTTTTATACAATGGAGTACCACTCAGCTATAAAGAATGATCACATTGAGATATTTATAAATAAATGGGTGCAGCTTGAGACCATACTCATAAGCTAAATAAATCAAACTCACATGTATAAATACTGAATAGTTTCCCTACTGTAAGAAATGGTAAGAATATATAAAAGTATGTGGTAATCACGTTTCCCCATTATATTGCTTTGAAGCCTTATAATGTTTTCATTCATTAGTTGGAAATGTTTTGTTCTGGGTTTGTTTGATTTTATTGTGTGTGATAGTATAAACAGCATTTTGAAGAAAACAAGGCACTATAGTAAGTAGTGATGATTTGATATCATCTCAAGCTTTTGTTCTTCTGTCTTCATCATTTTATCATGTTGTATCTTATTGGATTTTATTATATGTGATAATATAACAAAAACTCTCATAGACAAGGAGATAATATAGAAACCATTGTTTGTTTTATGTTATTGGTTTTGAATACCCTGTAATACTTTCATTCTCTTGAATGGTTTTACACTGTCTTGTTATGTTTGATGCTATAATATATAAAGGTATATTCAAATTTTTCAAGGCAAGAAATACTATGGTAACTACTGCTATGTCGGGTTGTCTTATGGTGGAACATTAAGTTGCTTAAATTGTTTTGCTCTGGTTTGCTTTGTTATGTCCTCTTTTATCTTAATCTTTTTTCTAAGTAAAAAAAAGTTAGTTTTTTCATTCAACAAGGTTCATTTATGGGTGATTTAATCAAGGATGTAAGAATCTTTAGCAATTCTCAGGGCTGGGGATTTAGCTCAGTGGCATAAGCGCCTGCCTTGCAAGCAGGCAGTCGTGAGTTCGATCCCTGGTACCGATAAAAACGAAAAAGACAAAAAAAAAAAAAAAAAAACAAAAGAAAAAAGAATCTTTAACAATTCTCAGCCACCAACTTATATGCCTGTACCTTTTGGAATTTTGAGATAGGTTTCATCAAGTTGCCAGTAAGTGGCCTCAAATTTGTGATGCTCCTGTGTCAGTCTCTGTAGTATTTAGGAATATAGGTGTATATCACTTCTCAGCTCATTCATTCATTTTTTTCAGCTTGATTACTAATTTCTTTTTTTCTCATGAAAAATAGTTCATTATATGGATATATCAAAGTTTGTTTATTCCTTTCCCTGTCGAAAGATATCTTGGCTGCTTCCCATTTTTACAATTGTGAATAAAGTTGTTACAAACATTTTTGTGTAGGTTTATATGTGGTAATCAATTTTCAACTTATTTGGGAAAATAGGAACACAATTGCTAGAACATATAATAGTGTTAATTTTGTGAGAAACTGCCTTATTACCTTCCAGGTTGTCTGTACCATTTTGGATTCTGATAGGTAATGAATGGAAGTTTCTGTTATTCTGTATCTTTGCCAGAAGTTGATATTGCCAGGGTTTTGGGTTTTAGCCATTCCAATAGGTATATAGTGGTATGTCATTATTGTTTTAATTTGCATTTCTCAACGACTAATGATAAGGATGTGTTATTTGCTTATTTGCAGATAAGAAGCAGAAACACACATACACAGACATATATGCACACACACATACACACACACACACACAGAGTGAGAGAGAGACAGACAGAGAGAGAGAGAGAGAGAGAGAGAGAGAGAGAGAGAGAGAGAGATCAAGGGAGGGAGGGACCAGAGAGAGAGATAAACTATTTACTCCAAGGCACAACCCCAGAGACCCACCTCTTCTGACCAGACCCTGCCTACTAATAGCCAGCCAGCTATCAGCCCCTATAATTCAACCACCCTCCAAAAGCCCCACCTATGAGCTCATGAGTCTCTTGGGGGACATCTAAGTACAGTACACATTTTCTTTTGAAATCTGTTACTCATTTTTTATATTGGGTGGTTCTTTTACATTTGACTTTTAGGAGCTCTTTGTATATTTTGGATATGTCTTTTATCAGCTATGTATTTGTAATGCTTTAGATCTAGAATATCCCCAAAGGTACCACATATTCAGAGGAGGGGATTGTGGAAGATAATTAGATTGTGGGGTCAACAGTACTCAACAGTGGACTTGTCTGTTGCTGACTTCAGTAGTTGAATGTGCTGTTAGGAGGTGGGGCCTGGTTGAGGTCATTCCCTGCTGGTATGACTGGGAAGGGCGTGTTCTCATGCCTATCTCCTCCTTTCTCTCTTTGCTTTCTACCCTGCTATAGGCTGAGAACCTTTTCTTTTGCTGTGCTCCTCTGCCATGCTGTTTCTGCCTTGTGGAGCCAACTATAGACTGAAATTTTGAGGCAAAATAAATCTCTCCTTTTCTAAATTGTAGATGTTGGGTATTGCCTCTCAGTAATGAGAAAATAATTGAGATATTTTGCAAACATACTCTCCTGCTCTGTGGCTTGCTTTTTTTTTTTTTTTTTGCATTCTCTTAACAGTGTCTTTTACACAGAAAATTCTAATTTTAATGAAGTCCAATTATTGATTTTTTATTTTCATGGATAGGTTTATTTTCAGTGACAGGTGGTAGATTCTGTAGTATCTTCAATACCTCTCATGTTTTCTGAAACACAAATTCCTACAACCTAGCAGATTCTATCATGTTGAAAACAGATAAAGAAGTAAACTGAAAAAACACGAAAGTTCACAGTTTCTTGCAAATGCACAGTGTCTAAATTAGCTAATAGAAGAACATAAAAATCAATGACATTGTTCAACAAAAGGTTAAGTATCATTACTGTTATATCTGAAACTTCCCCCAAAGCCTCATGTGTTTAGAAGGGTGCTCATGTGATTGGCTCATGGGGTTCTGTACTCACTAGTGGATTTGTGCATTTATGAGTTCAGTAGTTAAAAGTGCTTAAGGGCTGGGGTATTTTGGGAGGTTTGTCACTGTGTGTGTGATCTGGAAGGGTGTTTTCATGTCCTTGGCCTCTCCCTCCTGCTGGCTTCCACAAGGTGAGCAGCTTTCCTTTGCAAGACCCTTTCACCATATCATACCTGCCTTGGAGCCAGCCAACCATAAACTGACCAAACTGGAAACTGTGAACCAAACAAGCTCTCCTTTACATTGTGGATATTGTAGATTTCGTCCCAGCAACAGAAAGCTGACTAATACACAAAATTGGTACCAAGCATTGGGTCATTGCTGTGACTGTAACTGACCATATGATTCAGAAGCTTTTGGAATTTGTTTTCAGGAGGAGTTTTGGAAAGTTTGGAGCAGTGGACTAGAGAAGTCCTACACTGCTCTAAGCAGACTTTGATGGGTGGTGTTGGCTGGAGCTCTTAGAAGGCCAAAATCTTGATAGACCAGACTCAAGAGGTTTCAACTGAGACAAAGGACTCCGTTGACATTTGAATTAGAGGACCTGTATGTGATACTCTGGCAGGAAATTTGTCTTCACTTTCCATGTCCTGAGACTTTTCAGGAGACTGAGATGAAGGGTGATGGGCTAATTGATATAGTGGGAGAAATTTTAAGGCAACCCAATGTTCGGCTGTGGTATGAATACTAGACTGACAATGAGAATCAGAGCAAAAAGCAGATCTCCAAAGTGTGCACAGAGAGGAAGTACCTACAGATTGGGTCAAGGAAGAACATGATTGTGGAATAGATTAGCGTTTTTTAAAAAGCCAAGTATTTTGCATTAGGATATAGGAAAGACAGCTTAAGACATCCCAGGAGTTGACCAGACCCCAGCCTTCCCAGGATTGATGGTATAAAGGGTAAACTCCTTTAAAAGGCAATTCTTTGATTTCTATTTTCTTAATGAGACTAGCTCAAGAAAATAAATCACAAAAGAAAAAAACTATTAAGAGGTTTCTAAAATTTGTCTTTAAACATTTATTTATATTGTTGTGGTTGAATTTTTTGCCCCCAGTACTAAAGATTTAACCAAGAGCATTCACACTGAGCTACATCCCAAGTCCCAAAATTTTTAATTTTGAATCAAATTTTCACTAAGTCACCAAAGGGAACTTGGAACTGCTCAGATTTGCAATTCTCCTGACTCAGCCTCTCTGAGTGCTGGGATTATAAGCATGCAACACTAGGCCTGATGTCACATTCTTTTTTTTATGACTGTCTATATATTTGAAAGTTTCACCTTGGGGATCTAAAAGAAAAAAGAAAAATACAAATAGAACTACTTGGTTTTCATATTCTCTGTATCATTAACATTAGGGTTTGAGTAACATTATCTCTAGAGAGTTAATGCAATGTTTTTAGCACACTCTTACAGATCCTTTACTGTGCTTCGGTTCTAGGAAAATGCTACCTGCCTTTCTTGATTTCTGTAGTTTGTTTCAATGGTTCATATATACAAAGATGCTTGTCATTTCTATTTAGAAATGACACATTGTTTTAAAATTTTTTTTGTATAGAGGGAATTCATCCTTATTACAGAGAATATTAGATCTGATTTTTTCTTAAAAACCAACTGTGTAGACAAGTCTTGATTGATGTATTAAACAAGTGATTTTTTAAAATCAGGTCCTTCTCATTCTGAGGATGAAGACAGCTTTTTCTCAGTGTTTCATACTCAGGTTCCTCCAGAACATTATGAAAATGGTATGCAGGATGTCAATCGAGGTAAGTTTTATTTAACTTGTGTAATTGTGTATATTGTAATAGTAGAATACTCACTGTATAGAAATATTTATGGATGTCATGATTTGATATAATTGTATATAGAAGTAAGTAAAAGAAGAAGGGCTCAAGAGGGTGCATGGTTGGTCATGAGTATATCCTCACCGAAGCTGAGAACTACTTGTACTATTCTCTTTAATTAGGATGATTGAAAATTTGTGTAACAGTTAAAGAGAAAAAACTGGCTGCAAGTAATGGAAACTGGGCTTAAGACTCAAAGTGATGGGAATGATCTTGGTGGTAGACACGCTCCTTTGGTTCTCAAAAGTATATCCTGTGGTTAGCCATTGTGAAGAAGGTCTAGTTCCAGAATCCTTCAACAAAGAACTCATTCAGAACTAATTCAGCTTGGGTTGACATCACTGTGAGAACATGGAGACTCCTGTGGTATCACCATTACACAGGACAGGAGAAGGGGACATTTCTAGTGAGACAGTTTTGGCCAGATAACCCAATGTTGTTTCTCTATAATTTATTAAAAGTATGTCTTAAACACATTTCTATTAAAAATACAGAAATAGCTACATTTGAGTTATTTTAATGCTATATTTTTAAGTGTATGTGAAACTTCAACTGAATACACTATAGGCACTATAGGTATAAGACTATAGGCAATTTAAATGGTGGACAAAAAGTGATATAGTTTTATATCTAAAGTGGCCACTTACCAAAAAAGCTTAATTCTCACTTTACATATTGGTAGTTTGTACTGGTAATAATTATGTGGTTAATGAATAAAACCCCAATTATGGGACAGGGGCTTAAATTTGAGTGAAATTCTAACTTACTTCTGCTTGAAAGTAGTTTCAAATCTAGGGATCTTACTTCTTTTATGTTTCTTTCTAGCTACTTCCATCAAAATTTTAAATCTGTATTGAATCCAGGAATGGTAACACATACCTGTATTCATAGTACTTGACAGGGTGATGCAGGAGGATTGCTGTGAGTTTGAGGCCAGCCTGAGCTCCATAGTGAATTCAAGGCCAGTTTAGACTACATAGCAAGTCCATGTCTCAAATAACAAGACAAAACAAAACAAAACAAAACAAAATGTGAACAAATCTGTATTGTGTCTTTGATAACTATCTGTAAGTAAACCAATTGTTTACTTCCTTTAGTCTTTTTTTAATCAAATAATTTCTTTAATAAATCAAAGATAAATTTAAAATAAACTAAGTCTGGATTGACTACTGATTGGTGTTTTTCTCTATGGACTGTAAAGTGGCAGTGTTTTCCATTTTGTAGGGTAAGCTCTATTTGTCGTGTAGGGAGACTGCATATTTTAGAACTTTAATGAAGGATTCTTGTGCTCTTGTTTTAAAATCTTTAAATATGACACAGTGAAAAGGTATTTAATAAAAGGAATACAAATCTACAGGTATCCTTTTTACCTTGTTTAGAGCAGTGAGGTTCCAAATGTCTCAGGGTCACCTTGAGGCTGAGGGAGGTGACAAACTGAGGGCTCTAGGGGTTTGTCCAAATGACTTGCGAAACAGCCCATTCACTTGGGTCAGGGTTGAGCAAAAAGCTTATTGCTGAGAAAGAAAAAAAGAAAGAAAGATGGAGAACTAATAAAATAGTAGGTATTGACATTTTGTTTCATATAAAGATAAAATACATTTTAAAGATCCTCATAACAAGAATGAATGTGAATGACCTGAAGTTCTGTTCATATTTCCTGTCATTCTCGGGGAATAAACAGAAGTTTGACACATGATACTAGATAGGAAGTTTAAAAAGAGCCTCATGAGATGTTATAGTAGCACATTTATCCTTAAAAGAAATAAAAAGTATACTGTATTAGGTTTCTGGTCTGGAATTTCCAGGTTAGCCATTTTGCTTGTTTTCTTACATATTTTAATATATACTTAAAGTGAATTTTTAGTATAATCCACAATTATAATTATGAAACCAATTTGAACTTTTTAAATATTAGATTTTACCTATGATGTGGAAAGGAATGAGTCATTGATCAAAACAGAAGAGAAACCTTTCTCAAAAACAGAAAAGATTGAGCTAAGGGACAAACCCAACCAGGATTTTGTTAAGCGAAACATTGAGGTAGGTACTCAGAAATAAAGAACCACAGAGTGGGATTAAATGAGTTGCAAAATTGGTAATAATGTTTTCAGAGCCTTTTTAAAAATTTATAATTAATGCATGCATCATTGAAGTGGTGTATAGTACTAGCTTTCTTTCAAGAACAGTTTCATGAACTATTACTTATATTCACTTTTGTATCCAATTTGTTCTGTCCCTTTTTTTTTTTTTTGTGGTGCTGGGGATCAAACTGAGGACCTCATGCATGACAAAAGAAAATCACAAATGTCTACCACTGAGTGACACACATCCTCAGCTCATCATATCCTTTTCTTTTCCTTTCTTCTCCTCTCCTCTCCTTTTCTTTCTTCCCTTTTAAAAAAAGTGCTGCAAATAATATTTATCTTACCACTCAGAAAAAGTATGGTTCTTGCAATTTTAAAAGCATTTATTTAGGTATGTGATGGCTTTGGACAATATTTCCCTGATTTTAAGGAGTGTATTAGGAACACTGTCTTTTTTTTAAAGTAATGAACATGATTGTACACCTAGTGCATTTAGAAATGTAATGGAAAATATTCCTGGCAGAGCAGCAGGGGTGGGTTGGTGAAGCCCCCAGATTGAGCCTCTTGGCACCAGTCACTGTCCTTGGTTAACTTCCTGCCTCAGGAGCTCATCCTCGATTCTGCAGATCCTGCAACCTGCCTTGGTTGTCTGTCAGGCAGATTCATACTAATTAAGGTTTCCTGTATTATAAAGAAGAGAGATACTTGAAAATTGCTCATGCTTTATAATTTTTGCAGTTCTGGGGACTGAATCTAGGGCCTTTGCATGAGCTATATCCCCATCCCTTTTTACTTTCTCTTTTGTTAATTATGAGAAAGGCAAGTCTCACTAAATTGTCCAGACTGGGTTTGAGTTTACAATCCTACCTCAATGTCCTCCAGTGCTGGGATTATCTATCATTCTTTTTATAAAATGTTTTGTTAAAGTGGTTAAGATAGCCTGTGGCTTGCTTAAAGTAGAAATACCTTTGCTTGGAGAATGGCCCATTGCAAAAAATTTAGCATAAAGGACCCAGGGAAATGGCTGCCTGGAGGGAACTTTAGCTTACAGATGGTTCTGGCATAATCTTTCAAAGCCATCAGGTATGCAGCTCTGAAAGGAAACTGGGGTACACCAACATTTGTGTAATTATAGCCTGAAAGCAAAAATAATCAGATGACATCTGGAAAGATGATTAGAAAGAAAAAGGAATCTACTGAAACATCATACCCAATCACCAGGGAAGTGGTGGCTCACCAGGGTAGAGGAATTTTCTTCCATGAAGCTATCAAAAGGAAGACAGTACTCTCCACAAGTGCATACAGCTCAGGACAGAGAAATAGCAGAGCAAGTGGGAGCTCTGACTACAGCCAAGTGGTCAGAGGGCAGAGATAATTCCCATTCTGCAGCTCAGGATTTGGGTAAGACTAGATCAGGAACCAAGTTCTCTTGCTTTCCTCTTGCCTGGCTAAAACAGACTGGAGCAGTGTCTGGGTTGGAAGCCAGCATGAGTACCTGCCTTTACTTAGGCACAAAAATCCTCCTCACCTGTGGCTCAGATGCCACCATGTGACAGGGAGGAGATGGTTATCACTCTTGTTGACTGAATTGATTAGAGTGGGACCTGAGGGAGGAGACTGGCACAGTGGGTCCAGAAAGTGGGAAAGACCACACCTCACATTTCCGGGGGAACAGAACAAAGAGCAGGGAATAAGTCCTCTGTGTTGAAGGCCAGTGTTACACTGATGCAAAGCACACTGGTATCAGAGAAATGCAAATCGAGGATGAGATTCCATCTTTCTCTGGAAAGAATGGCAATTATCAAGGACTATGCAAAGATGTGAGGAAAAAAGAACCTTCTGTATCATTGATGGGAGTGTAAATTAGCACAACATGAAAATCAGAGATTTCTAAAAATATTAATAAAAATTCATTTGACCTGGCTATACCTCTCCTGTGCCTAGACTGGGCTTATGGGGGATGGCAGGTAATGTGGAATTTATAGTAACTAAATTATGGCAATAGCCTACATGCCCATCAGCAGATGAACAGATAAAGAACATGAGGTACATGTATCAAATGCCGTATTACTCAGCCATAAATAAGTCTTTCATAGGAAAATGGATAGATTTTGAGACCATAATGTTAGGTGAAATAAATCACAGATTAAATATTGCGTAGTTTCTGTTATATGACAATCCCAAATACAAATGATTTAAAAAGAAAAGGTGTTAGAAAATAAAGAAGTAGATTTTTTTGGAGATGAAAAGGGAAGGGGGAGAAAAATAAAAAAATTAGTTCCTGAAAGCTAGTGTAATTATTATGTATTATGAACATATAGTAATAAATTTGCATAAAGTAAAATTAGCAAATATAAATTGCCTAATCTGATACATTTTACCATTGTGTGTATTTTGTAGAAACCTCAGATCCCATTTTAATGTTTTTGAGCTACAAATTACATTGAATACTTCATATTTTGCATTTGTAAATTCTATAGTTAGCCAAGAAATCCAGAAGTCCAGTGCCTATGAGTGACACAGAAAAGAAAAGGCTGGATGAACTTTTGAAGGACATAGATGATAGAGATTCGGGGCTGTCCAGTTCTGAGGTAGGCAAACTCTGATAGTCAATGACTTTCACACGCCTTAAGTCTGATTTTCTTATAGCTTTGTCAACTCCTTAGCACAGATTTATAATTTGTCACTTTAAAAGGTAATATTCTGTGATTTAAAAATATCCTACTTTATACATTTGTTTTTATTGATGCTCTTAAAGGTATTGTTGGTTAATTCATTATTGACTATTACTGTTTGTATCTAGATTTTTTCCCCCAAAGCCATGTGTGGTCATAGTTTTTTTGGGGGGGTAGGGGGGAGGTGGCTGAATCTAAAGTACATGATTGATTTGTAGTGCAATCCTGGGATTAAGGTTGGGTGATTGCTGGATCAGTCCACTGACTTGATTGGTACTACCCTAATTCCGATAGACGGGACAGAAAGAGGCTTCTCTCCCCCTTTCCATGCTTGTTTGCTATCTTCTGCCTGCCATGAACTGTTTCTCCTGTGTAATACCTGTCTTCCATGCCACCCTGTTAGAGCTAGCTGATTATGGACTGAAACCTCTACAAACTGTGAGCTAAATAAGCCTTGTCTCCCTTAACTTTGGATGTTGGGTATTTTGTCTCAGCAACCAGCAAAGTAACTAAAACAACTGTCAAGTATTAGTTCTTCTAAGAGTGACTACACATTGGTTATCACAACAATAATCTCTGCCTGTGATGTGATGAGCAATGGCATATGACTGTGTTTCTCTGTAGTCTTAATTTCTCCTTACTGGCTCCATAATGTTTCATTGTAGCCCTTAGTGATCCTAAAGGTCACCATCTTACTGCTTCCCAGTTCATCTTGACCATCTGGTTCCTGAAAAGCCTGGGGGGAGCCTAGACCAGGCTGATAGAGGGCTGGCTGGGAATGTAAGAGTGAGATGCAGTTGTGTATTTGTAGGGCCTGGGAAAGAGCCATAAGGAGTGGAGCAGCCCAGCATTTGTACACATTTGCATATTAATCTTGTAGGGATGTTCTTTTTTTCTACAAAAGAATGTACCCTCCTTTGTTCCCTGAAGCACTTAGCTATGTCATCCAGCTTTTATTCCCCTGTGCTCATTGGAGGTGATGGAATGAGGGCTGGTGGATCCTAGATCCTGCACCTTGGTATGTCCCTATGTGTCCAGCTCCCTGCCCTGTGCAAAGAGTGCACAGCTGTCCCCTTTCCAAGCCAAATGGAAGGCAAGTGGCCCAGCACACTATTTCTCCTCACCCCAGGTCTCTTGCCTCAGGTGGGGCCAGTTCTGTGGTGCTACCCAAAGATCAGATGAATGCTGTTCTTCTGGGGGTTGGGGGGAAAATGTAGAAATTCAGATATTTAAAATGGGAAACATATGACATTTTAAAAACAACTAATTACTTTAAAAACAGAATATGTCCCTTTCCAAACCAAAAACAGAAGCAAATCTACAGGAGATCCCATTATAACCTCTGAATAATCTTTTCTGACATGGGGAGGGCCTAGCAGGCACCGGTCTAGGAATAGAGGAAGGCTGGGGTAGTCTTGAGATACTTTAGCTTTGCTGTTCATCATGATTTGTTTATTTTACTAACAAAAGTTTAGATAACAGTTAATGTAATAACTCGGACCCCGGTATAAAATCCAAGGAAGCAAGAGACTGAAATTTGGGAAGCAAAGGCTTTATTAGACCAGGCCTGGTGTCGAGTCTCCGGGAGCCAATTTGGAGACTGCGTGCCAGAGACTGAAGGGAGGACTTTAAAAAGAGGCTAGAGGAAATGGGCGGGGGGGGGGGAGAAACAAAGAAACCTGCAGAGCCATCAAACTTGTTGACCCGAATCTGGAAAATGTGTAGCTGTCCACTTAGTTCTGACAACCTCGGGAGCCTTTGGCGCCTTTTGAGTTACTCCCATCCTGCAGATAAGAATTATCTGCAATAACATTTGGAGAAGAAAGTAGAAAGCTAATTATCTCAGGACAGCTCGTTAACACTAACAGGTGGGAAGGGGTCGAAAGTTATAAGAAGCTGAAACTTAAGCCTTCACAAGGATTTGGAACTTAACCCTTTTGGTGCATTAGGGTTAAGCCACAACATTTTCCTGTAATTTCTTTGAAGTTAAGGCACATTTTATGACAGACCACCACCGGGACAGGAAGAGGTCACCAGAAACCCCAAATCTTTATGGCCTAGCCTAGATAGATAGGTAAGGGGAGAGGGGAGGCAATAAGGCGCGATACAGAACAGAAAACGGTGGTTATGTTTTTCTTTCTTTCTGGGGAGGGGGATCAAGGTCAGGTAAAGGGTTATGCTAATAAGCAAATCTCCCTGCACACAAGCAAGTTACTTCAAACAAGTGTAAATTAGAGGGCCATCCTAGTTTTCTTTAGCTCTTTAGCGGAGAACAGAGGCACATAACAGTGATTAACAACACTTGTTAACTTGTTTTAGCACCACTTCAGTTGTTTGTAGAGGGCAACAGTGGTTAACATATCAATTAGGTAAGGTTTTACAATTCTTTACAGAGAAGAGCATTGATTGACATATCAATTAGGTCATCCAAAGACATAAGAAGGAAAACACATACAGTAAGCCCGTGTTACAGGTTTTGTTATAATACACATATAATGAAGCTATTTTCTTAGAGTACAACAGTTAACATTAAGACATCTAGGCTTCCTTCCTGGTTTTGTCATTCCTTGTGAGGCTGGGCAAGCTGCTGTGCTCTGTCCCTGGTGTCTAGCTGTAGCATGATCCCTCTTCTTTACACAGGCCAGGAATGCGTTAGTCTTGCGTTATTAATATTGGTTTTTACACATTTTTGACTACTATTTATGTTTCAAACTCTAATTTCAGTTTTAGGAGCTCTGTTATAACTATTGTACTCTAATAGATGGAAGTTTTTTGGTTGATATTCTTTATATTTGTTTATTATTTCCTTATCATTTATACTTTAGTGAGGATATTTCTGACTACTGGTAACTTTTTAGAGCTTTGCCTGACTCTGAACTATATATTTTATTTATTCCCCTCCTTCCCTTTTTGTGGCTTGGAAATTCAGTGTCTTGTTTCTGAGCTGTATTATTATTCCTCAAGTTCTTGACATACATTAAAATGTATATTTTTCTCAACTTATGTAATTAGTTTTTAAAAATCACATGTTTTTCAAAGTTGGATCATTTTTATGGCTTTATTTTCCTTTTCCTTTCCACCAAGATTTAGTGAAATTGTCTAGAATTTTAGTTTCAAAATATTGTAAATTTTTACCTTTATCTTTAAAAATAGTATCTTCTCTTGTAGGATCTTTCTCAACCAAATTTAGCCACCATCTTTCATATTATCATTAACTGTGTATCTGGACTCAGCTAATTATTACTATGTGTAAATAACTTTTGTTAAATTTGTTAAAAGATTTGTATAAAGAACTCTCAAAAATTTGTTAACAAATTTGTCTGAAATTTTAGAAAAGTTTTCCTTCAAGATGTGGTGGTGCGTGAATAATTTTTGAGTGTTAACCGTATTTAAAAGTTTATTTTTCTTTCACTTGAATAATAGCTTGAGTGGTAACTAAATTATTGATGCCGAATCTTTTCTTTCTGGAAGCATGTAGCATTTTCTGCACTTTTGGATTCACTAACTTTATCAGAGTGTTTATGTGTCATTAAAAGTAATTTTGTCCTGTTTTGGCACGTGGTCTTGTTTTGTCCTCTGAAGATTCAAACCTTTCTTCTAGTATTTTTTCTCTTCAATCATCTCTTTTTCCTCCTCGCAGGATACTCATAAAGTGGGGCTATTGTTTGGGAATGTGAGCGGCTGGACATGTGAAAGTTTTATAAACAATGTCTGAAGTAAAGAGTTTTATTTCCCTTCATTAACAAGAAACCAAGCTGTGAGCGGCTACTGTCTTTCTGTCTTTCCATTTCTTGTGCTTAGAATGGCTTTTTCATTAGGTTTGTATTGTTTGCTGCATGTCTGGAGGTGAGGGGTCCATTTTTCAGGCAGGAAAAAAGATAAAGGGACTTTGTTTTTTCATTTGGAAGGATTTTGTGGTACCACAACTTCTATTTGCATCTCATTGGCTGAGCTGTGACATGGAGCCATTTGTCTGGTGACACTGCTGAATGAGGAACAGTGGGCAGGTGATTTACTTTCTAGTTTTGTAGCAGAGGTAGGCGTGGCATACGAACATTAGAAAAGACACTGAAGTCTGTCAGTAGATAATATCTACCACAATGGATGGTGGACTTTATGAGTCTTTCTTTCTGCTCAGAGTATCAGTTTTCTTGTAATCATCTTTTTTCCCCGATCATTTTTCTCAGATGGGCTCATTTTACTGTTTTGCAAATTGAGCTTCTATCGTGTTTATTCTGCTACTTAGCCTTGCAAGTTTTTTTGAAAATAATAATTGTTTTTAAAACAATTGGTTGAGAGTTCTTTCTGCAAGTTCTCTTATTATCTGGTATGAAAACTAAATATAAATTCAAAAACACAGAAAATTCTATAAAGCAAGATAAGATGGTGAACAGAGACTCAGAGGAACATTAGTGCAGCGGGAAGACTTCAGGGAAACTTGGAGGAAGGGATCTGTTTACTGTTTTCTCAAACTGCCAAGCTTCTTGCTGTTTCTCAGATCCTCTTGTTTGAGCGAGCCTCTGTGCTTCCAAATGTGTCTTTTCCTTTATGAAGTGGCCCACAGCTGTGTCACCGAGAAAATGCCCATGTAACCTAGAGAGGATGACTGTCTTGGATACTTTCTCAGCATTAAGACACAATACCTGGCACCCACAGTTTAAAGGAGGAAAGGTTTATTTTGACTCATAGTTTGTAGAGGTTCCTAGGCTGGCTCCTAGCCAAGGTGGTGAGGCAGAGGTGGCGTGGCGGCGGAAGAGAATTGCTCACGGCAGTGTAGGCAGGAAGTAGAGAGGGCATAGGGAAGCAGGAGAGGGATTCTTCAAGGCCACATCCCCAAGGACCTACCGCCTCCCCAGCATCACATTTAGCTCTAAACTCTTGATTCAGTCACCTCCCCAAAACCCCCCAAGGCCTTT